CCCTGGCTGTATGTGGAGGCGAGCTCAAATATTTCTAGCCTGTATCACTCCACCTGCTAATAAAGGTCAAGGTCATTGTCCCCCAGTGAGGTCATATTTCACTTTTCTGCAGCCAGTTCAGCTACCATGGATCGGATCCCAGAGACCCTAACCTCTGACTGCCCAATCCTCTTCACACCCTTTGTCACCTTCATAGAGTTTAAATAATCAGCTGAGATTCTGCTAATTTCTGCTTCCTATCTCATTTACTCAGTAGATCAAAGGCAGCCTACCTTTAAACCCAGCTGGGTAGTGAGCTTCTACCTTTATGCTGTTTCCTTCAACAAACTGGCAGGTGTATCTTCTGTTGGTGACGCTCTGATGCTGCACAGTTAGAGAGGAAACACAGCTCCTTGGTTTTCCTAACTGGTATTGAAAATCTTCACCAGTTTGTTTAGTTCCTGTCTCATCCAACCAGTCGAAACTGTCCTCTGGACAAAGACTCAACCCACTCCACCTCTCCAGAGAACACAGTAATGTGACATCTCCATCCTTTGTTGAATCAGCAGCTGGTGAAGATGGAGAAACTGAAAGAAAAATAAAAACTATTGTCTGAGTTTGAATGATGGAGAAGAAACTTTATATAAGATGAGAAACCTAAAAGACAACTTTATCTCAGTCTGTGAAAAGTAGAATAAAAATAAAAAAAACTAAAAAAGAACTAATGAAACTTTATATGTTGTCTCCGTGTTTCTTGGTGATTGATGCTCTAATGTTGCAGATCTGAGCAGGTATTTATCAGCATGATGGAACAAAAGAAGAAAACTTTCCAAATGAAAGCAAATGATGTAGTGGTTTGATCAAAGCATTTAACCACACAATACAAGAGAAACTAATTGAATCTAAACAGCCCCACAGCAGCTGAGCACAGCGTTCATTCTGATGAGGTCACTTCCTGATGTCAGGCACCTCAAAGCTTGGCCCCGTGTGGTAATGTGGATTCCCTAGAGGAGAGCCAAGCCTTTGGCCTACAGCAGCTGGTGGAGCAACCAAGTTTAACACCTGCCAAAGCTGGTAAGCTGACCACCCTACTGCAATGCACCTTTCAGAGAATGATGCAACAATGTCTAAGTGGTCAGATTACTGAGTCCCTACTTGTATATTTGGATGACATAATCATCTTCTTGCCTGATTTTGACACTCACCTGCAGCATCTGGAAGAAGTCTTCATGTGTCTGTGGAAGCACAGCTTGANTTTTCCAAATTTGCACGCCCACTCCATTCCTTGCTAACAGGCATTCCCACTAATAAGAAGAGTGGCACCAATTAATTGACTGGACATTAGCGTGTCAAACTGCATTTGAAAGACTAAAAGAGGCCTTAACCCAAACATCAATACTGGCCTATGCAGATTACGACTAACCTTTTAGCCTGTACACTGATGCCAGCAATCATGGACTGGGTGCAGTACTGGCGCAAAACCAAGGAGGAGAGGAGCGAGTGATCGCTTATGCCAGTCACAGTCTACATCCTGCTGAGCGAAATGATGCAAACTACAGCTCATTTAAATCGGAGCTCCTGGAACTGAAATGGGCCATCACCGAAAAAAGGTGTCCCATGACAATGGGTGCAATGGGTGCACAGGTGTTCTCCATCAGCTGAGCAGCATACAGACGGTGGTGTTGGTGATAAAAGGCAGCTGCGCAGTTGAAGAAGGAGAAGAAAGCCGGACAGAGCACATGGAAAGGAGCTGCAGACGAGAGAGAGGATCGTGCAGTAATGACCACGCAGGGTGTTGGAGAGAGGACAGCCCGGCGTGTTGGAGAGAGGACAGCCCGGCGTGTTGGAGAGAGAGGACAGCCCGGCGTGTTGGAGAGACAGGACAGCCCAGCATGTTGGAGAGAGAGGACAGCCCGGCATGTTGGAGAGAGAGGACAGCCCGGCGTGTTGGAGAGAAAGAGACCTTTGACGTTGTTTATTTACTTCACATCAGTAAAACATAGTCTGTTTCCACCATCACAATAAAATAAAAAAAAAAAAATATATAAAAAACAACCATTACCACACACAAAAAACACACACACGTTAAATATTAAGAAACAGTAAGCCATCTTCCTCTACTGAACATAACACATGTCTAATCCCCCACAGAGCCCTAAAAGGCTCCAGATTATTAGTCAGTGTGTAGAAAGCATGCTCCACTTTCAGACGAGCTGCAACCACGCCTTTCAGGTTCTGCACCACATCTGTCCAACCCTGACCCAGCATCTGATTCTTCCTGGTTCTCCAATTGGCTAGTTTAGCCACTCCAAACAAAAAATGTATTAAGAATAATTTCAGTTTTTTCCTCACTGTGTATCTGGGTCTAAAAACAAACAGAGGAAGAGAGAAAACCTCCCCCAAAGCTTCCACCCATCCTTTCAAAACTTTAAAGAGACCAACTAGCTGAGGACAACCCACCACTAAGTGATCTAGTGTTTCCCTCTCAGTGCAGAAAGGACAGCCCTGCCCAGTGCCTGGA